TACGACCAAATCATAGTATTTGATCTTGTTCTCGATGAGCACTAGCAGTGGGAAGTTACGCGACGATGGCTGTGCTATAACAAGGCGGACTATGCTGAAATTCGGAGGCTTTGTCCGGAGCAGAATGGCCTTTAGCGTGCGATGAGTTACCTGTGGATGAACGCTGGGAGGTGGTAAAAGAGATTATTCACACAGCAATCTTGGATACCGTTCGTTTAGTCACAACACAGCCCAAACATTTCAAAATGCCTGAAGGCTGGAAAAAAGCTAGCGGCGGTCAAACAAAAACTTGGCACCAGTCAATGAAATCCACAACAGTTGGTCTAAGCCACGTAGGAAGGTGTAGACTTCCAGGCTGGGGTCCTCGGGACGGTAAAAATCTATAGTTGGAAACAATTGGTGAGATGGCTCAAAATCGTTCTCAGTGGCGCAGATGCATCCACTCCTTGTGACTTATGATCTCCAATGAAACTGTTTTGTTCTTCGTTATTACTCCTTTGTCTCACACCTCTGCTCACTGTCTCGACTATGCTTTTCTTGTACTTTCTTCTCTTGCTTCGCGTGCTACACGGAGTGTGGCAACTTGAACCTCCGAACATTTGTGCAAAGTTCTATGTCGAAAACAGACAGACAGAATGCTTGAAGAGGGGTATGCACCAATTCTACAACAGAGCGGAAGGCTTGGTTTACGTGACGAGTCTTCGAGAAATCAGAATGGCCACGACGCATACCGTGAACACAGGAACAAGTTGAACGTGAAAGTCAGGAGTGACAGGTCATTTCAGGCTAACCTTGCCAAAACCGCCATGGAAAACCCCAAAAACTTGTATCGATTCATGTCAGAAAGGAAACCAACCAGCAAGGGGGCATACCACCAGTTATGGACAGCTGGCGCAAAGGTATCGAAGTACTGTAAATTAAAATTGACGATCACATCAAAGAACACCTTAACAGACTAACTGAATCCATGAAGGCCAACCCGGTTTTAGGAAAAGGAGATCACGTGTAACAAACCTACTGTCTGTTTGCAACTATCGAACGTCATGCTAGGATATGAATGTTCTGGTACATGTGATCTTCCTAGACTTTGAGAAGACATTTGACGCAGTTCACCATGCCCTTCTCCAACACAAAATAAGTCAGATAGGTATAGGTTAGCCACTTCGGTCAGAGTTGAAGGACAACCTGGCTGAAAAATAATTTTGCGCTAAGGTCAATTGAGCCCGATCATCTTGGCACGGCTCGTCATCAGGAGTGTCGCAGGGTCCTATCCTCGGGCCGCCAATCTTTTTGATTTTATCAGTGAACCACCATGCCGTCTAAGCTCCGCGACTCTTCTGTACGCTGGCGACGTACACATGTGGAGGGCATTATGGTGTCCAGATGATCAAGATAAGCTGCAGGTAGATCTAAAGTCACGCAAATGGCGTGACTTTCACCCCGAAAAAGTGCAAAGTAGTGAAATTATGCACCTGCAGTCGGCGGAATGAAAATTACATCGTGTGAAACGGAAGCTTGTAATGAGCAACATCTGAGAGTGACTTAACTCTAGTTCTAGCGGAAAAAAGGACAGAAGTGGTGTCAATCACGTCTCATAAACCGTTAATGCCCAGCTCTTGTTACGCTCGGGCCCACGCTGTTCCTTGCAGTTTTTCAGAAACGCTTAGTAATAACGGACGAAAAAACCAAAACACTGATTGGCCAATCGAGAATTCTTTATCGTTACACTGACATATAAATATAATGATTTTACTAGGGTCTGTGAACAAATATTACAATAAGAAATCACAACATTACTTCTGATGGTTGTCTCCTGACTTCTTTCTGAACAGCGACCGATGAGACGATGACTGTCGTACTGATGCCTCCGCGAAAATTGGGCAAGTTGATATTGAGCGAACAACCATGAATTGATCGTTCAATCTTCAACTCCATTGACATCTCAAAAACCATTAATGCCCAGCTCATCTACGCCGGGCATCTCGCTGTCTCTCGAAGCCTTTCAGAAGCGCTCAGTACCAACGGACGCAAAAACCAGAACACCGATTGGCGACTGCAGAATTCTCTATTCTAACACTGTCAATGGAGTTGAAGATTGAACGATCAATTCTTGGTTGTTTGCTCAAACCAACCTCCCTAATTTTCGCGGAGGCATCAATACGACAGTCATCGTCTCTTCGGTCGCTGTTCAGAAAGAGGAGTGAAACATCGTCAGAAGTAATACAATGAATTATTATTGTAATATTTGTTTTCAGACCTTCGTTCACTTATTCTTTTTATATGTAGGTGTAACAATAAAAAAATATCAAGCGGCAGATCGGTGTTTTGGCTTTTTCGTGCGTTATAACTAAGCGTTTCTGAAATCTTCGAGGAATAGCGTGGGCTCGAGCGTAGCGAGAGCTGGGCATTAACGGTTTATGAGACGTGATTGCCGGTTTCTGACGATGGAAACAGATCTGGCGGATTCAAACAGTTGGTGGAAGTTTGGATAGTCACCGTTCATCTTTCCTGGTGCCGGTCAAGTCCTCTTTGAACAAGCAATATCTAGAACGTTTTCGTCCACTTGGATCATCAACCTGAGAAGGAATGTAGGCGTACTGCTGTAAGTCCTACAGTTCTTCAAGGGTAGTTTGCCGTGCCAGAATATACAACATTTGATGTAGTGATTGTACATATGTTTGTGTTAAATAATTGTGTGAGTTCCAATTGATGTAATTGTTGGTTAATCTTGTTTGTGTCCGTACATTCCACAACTTACAATCGTCAACCTGAGAAGGTTTGTAGGCGTACTGGTGTAAGTCCTGCAATTCTTCAAAGGAATTCCACCAAGACATGATCGGCGAGGTTGTTTGTACTATTTGTATATACGTGTGGTGTGTCATAGCAATTGGTGTATTTTGGATTCATTGTGTTTACTTGTTGTTTTCGTGTCTTGTTGTTATTGCGTAATTTTGTTAAAATTTTCGTCGTGATTATTTCTGAAGTTGTTTCGAGTCTTCTACATCCATGAATGAATTGATTGATGTTAAGGACAGCAGATGGGTCGTATACGCCGGGGAGGCTAGGCTATTGCTGAGAATGAAATGCACACGGAGATAATTGTTAGCTGCGGTCCGACACGCCGGGGAGAAAGAGTGTAAACGACTGAGGCTCGCATACGTCACCGTTACTAGAACTGAGGCAGAATGAGTGACAAGCGATTTCAGTGGTAATTGGTAGTGAGTAGATAAGAGGGTGTGCGTAGAGTATCATGAGTTGGTGCTATGGTCACTTTGCATTCTGCAAGAGTCATTCTAGCAAGTGGCGATTGTGTTGCAAGATGTCAAGAGGAGGTTTCTGTCTGGAGGCGCAAGTCGTCATTGATGTGTGAGGTTGTGCTGTGGGTATGCTTGTGGTGTGTTGGCTTTTCTGTTTGTTTTCCATTTCAGCTCTGTCCGTGTGACCCAGGTTCTCGCAATGTCATCCAAGTCAACGTGCATTGGTCGTGAAGGAAAAAAGGGTTGGAACCGTATTTTGCCGGGGAGTTTCAACGGAGTTGAAGATTGAACGATCAATTCTTGGTTGTTTGCTCAAACCAACTTCCCTAATTTTCGCGGAGGCATCAATACGACAGTCATCGTCTCTTCGGTCGCTGTTCAGAAAGAGGAGTGAAACATCGTCAGAAGTAATACAATGAATTATTATTGTAATATTTGTTTTCAGACCTTCGTTCACTTATTCTTTTTATATGTAGGTGTAACAATAAAAAAATATCAAGCGGCAGATCGGTGTTTTGGCTTTTTCGTGCGTTATAACTAAGCGTTTCTGAAATCTTCGAGGAATAGCGTGGGCTCGAGCGTAGCGAGAGCTGGGCATTAACGGTTTATGAGACGTGATTGACAAACACCAACATATGAACAGCATAATAAACTAAGTTATATGAACAAATGTTACAATAATAAATCACGATATTACCTCTGACGGTCTTTGATCTTTCTGAACAGCGACTGATAAGACGATGACTGGTGTATTGATGCCTCCGCGAAAAATTGGGGAAGTTGGGTTTGAGCAAACAACCATGAAGTGATCGTCCAATCTTCAATTACACTGACAAGTGTAAACTAGACGGAGGGCGTAGCGAGGCCATATGCGATCATACACGTTACGCATATACAGTTAGGTAAACTCACTCCTGAGCTATTTCTATGATTGCACAAAACATACAACGGACCACATCGTGGAGTGCACAATATCATTGCACCCTGACTGCTTAGTAGAGACACACACTTCTTGGAAAGAGTTCAAAGATGGGCAACAAAAAGAGTGGTGGGTCTCTGAAATAAACCGTATGATGAAGGGTCAAATAAATTAGGGCTATACACACAGATACCGTCAGATAAAGGTGATTTGATTACTGTCTACAAGGTAACAAACAACTAGAATCACCCAAACAAGGGCGTTCTGCCATCGATTAGGTATAGGCTTCGGCGTGAAAATCCCAGAAGTATAGCTCACCAGAGGGCAAGGACCCATACACCATTCAGGAATAGACAACCAAATTCGTCATTTTACTTCTTCCCATTCTCTCCCGTCTTACTCTACTGACTACACTTATTATTATTACTGGTGTTATATATATATATATATATACAAAGCAACTTCAAATTCAATTAGCTGTCTGTTTTTACGTCTTCTTCGTTTCTTTTCCTGTCTTTTAGCCCGAATAACCTACACAAATTATATCTATTATTATTATCATCACCATTATCTCTTTTCTTTTGACCACGATACTGGAGGACTAACTGGTCAGAGGATCAACTCCAATCACATTAGTAACAGTTTTAACACACCGCATACTACAAACAACATATAATTGATCCTGGCATTACTCCTTTTGCAGTCGACCAAAGCTACGGCAGTTGAGTGGCGAGATGATCTACACAGAAGTTTACCGATAATCAGGAACCTTTGCCTCACAATGAAGAGGCGATCACAACGAAATCAAATTGGTTTATACTACTTCGTAAAAACGATATTGGACATAGGATATTGTTTAAACGATGCCTGAAACGCCCGTCATTAATAACTCCTTCTGAGTCGTCGAGGTGCACAATTGCCTCGTTTCTGGTTTTCGTGTGAGTCAGTGTGTGCTTCTCCTAATTAATACGCGGAGCTGCTTTCTGTGTATCGACCATCTTTACAAAGATTATTATCAGTATTGTTTACTACACCCCGAGTGGTAAGTCATGGTATCCTTTCATTTCATGAATTCATAAATGTCTATACCCGATTACTGGACCTTTGTGTTATCGTCGCCCGTATTCTAGTATTTAGGTTGTATGAGATCGTGTGTGTGAGTATCCTATGTTCCACAGATACATATGTATACTATCTATTTGGCGAAACTGGCAAATATTTGCCATATAGTGTGAGCAAACCCTCATGTGAACCTGAATTCTGTGCATCTCGAGTGCATACGGTTCTCGGTACTATTATCGGATGGAGCAGAATTTAGTCCGTCAATACCAGGATCTTCAATGAAGGGTTGTAGTCTAAAATATCGTCTGTGATTTTCTGGTTATCAAGATGCTATCATGACTTAGCATTAACTTAGGGAGTTCGTATCTTCCAATATTGAGGCGTGAGTGTGAATTCGTATAGATAGCAGATTGACACTCAGGTGTTTTGTTTCTATTCAGTTGAACGATCTTTCTTAATATAAATATACGCAAGTCAGGAGGTCGTAGAGATTTTTTGATATCTGAATATTGTTCGACTGGTGCCACAGCTTACATATGCACGTGATGCTCCAGAAAGGAGCTATGTCTTCAACTATGTGTCATCGCAGTGTCATGTTCGGTTATTTGTTACTTCACTTCCACTTGCAAAACAGTGACATTTGAGGATAGAAAATATCTGAAAAGTATCAATTCAATTGCGAGTGTTATTTGATCTGTATGTTGAAGTTCACTAAATTCTCAGTGGCACGCACCCTTGTTTATGAGTGTAGTAGAAAACATTTCTAAATATGACAAGCACCGTCAACTTTTCTATTAACGAACAAGTACCATCCGGATAAACAGACCCTTTTTCTGCACATGAAAAGCTTATCCAATCATTTCGTATGTAGGAGCTTCATTCCGGGTTTCACTCGTCATTTTAACGTCCAGTATTGGGTCACTCTTTGCGACTACCCACTCTAAATTTGCTCTGTTGACCGATCATCTGTCCTGAGCAATCATCGACTCAGAATGATGATTGGGAATACCACATCAAAGAGAGAACGGGATTGGGAGCACTACTACAGTTAACTTTCAGTTCCAGAAAAGGCAGTGAATAAGCAGTGATTTGTAATGTCCAAAGTTTCAATGACTGATGGCTTGTCGTATAATAAGTGGCTGAAATGATCAATGAGCCTATTCTTAAGGTATTAGAGTACAAAATTTATGTTCTCCATCACTCCATTTTGTTTAAGTTGTATTGAAAAGGTCTCGTGAAAGAAGGTATGAGAGATGAAGATGGTGGTAGAGGAGATAAATATTAGAGTTGTATGATAAAGGTTGAGTAAGGATGGTCTTTCAAAATTCAACAAACTGAAAGTATCTCTGAGCATCTCAATATAGTGATACTTGTCTTATATACGGTCATTTGTTTGGTTCGCCTCATATTTATTTATATTTTGCTTCTCAAATCTAGATGCAGTCAAGCAGTGAAATGGGCAAAGAAATGAACTCATCACCTGAGCCTGATGCAGATAACGGGCAACAACTGTTTCCAGGTGCTTATATTTCTCCAATACCTACTACAAGAAAGGGTTTTACCAAAAATAATCCTTTAACACCAAATCAGCCAAAGCATAGCACTCCTGACGAAGGGGATCGGCGTCCCGACCACACAGTTATCTCAAACAGTCGTTCAGAAGAAAGTCTGGAATCTCAGAATGCAACGACTAGAATACGAAATACGACATATATTATTTGTAGAACCCACGAACGTGATCAACCGTCCTTACAGATGGACAAAACAAACGACACTTCGATAGATGTTCCAGAGAAAATGGAATTAAATAAAACGTATGTGATCAAAAGAAGCCAAGATTAAACCAAAAAAATACGCGAATAAGAGTATTATTATTATTTTGAGTGTAATGTACAAAAACTTTATTTTAACACCTTATAAAACTTTGAATAATTTTGTAAATAAATAAACCTCTTGTTTTCAGTCAGCAGCTGCTTTACTTATTACATCGATATGGAGTGAGGAAATCAAGAGTTAATACCGATCCCTGGTAGTATGTTTCGTTTATTGTGTACTAGTACCATATCGATTGGAGTGGAAAGATGCTGTTCTTATTCTTCAGGGTTTTATATGCTGACCGTTGGTTTGTTCATAGGTTCACGTGTTACTTGTTCATTGTTCAAGATCAGTATGAAGTTAACTGTAATAAACTTGGCTACAGTTGTCTTACTCCTCACGTTTACTGAAGAATAAACAAGCTGTGAGGAGTCTAGTGCTCCGTGTGACAGTTTCATGGTCGATTGGCAGGATACGACAGGTGGTGAAGGACTGTTTCATCGTAGATCAGAGGAAATGAATAGTGTGGAAATGCCATTGTGGTCGTATGTTCTTTGCATTCATCTCATACTTAAGTGTCAGGGGAATAAGTTCAGCAGGCTTGTAGTTCACTAGAGTAGTTGACGTTTTCTTAAACCTAAAACGTTTCTGTGGAAGGTGAGCTTTCTTTCAAAGCACTTAAAATAAACCTGACATACATGAATGAGTTGCATTGCCTTCTATGTGTTAAGCGTTATGAACACAACTATGTTGAAACCAGTAAATAGGCGTTAACTTGCAACCAAATTCACCATAGCTGAATGGCTGTTCTAGACAGCATAATGTAAGGGTTTGAAGATAACGATGACTTTGAATTACTGTGGGAATTTCGGATCAAACAACCAACTGGATAGAAATTGTATTGTTATAATGTTAGTCTTGGAAGCAATAAGTGTGCATGGTTTATTACTAGCAGACAGAATGTGAGAAACAAATATGGCGTGATGAAATGAGTACGTTTGTATCATTTCGTGGATTCCTCTCAACTGCTCACAACCCAAATGACACCATGATATACAAGTTGCGAGACTTCATCACGTTGACAACAAGTTATTGTTAGGTACTATGAATGACAAGGTGGTGCCACAGTATCGAAATTATTTAATGTTGATAGAACTGACCAGTTACAAGATAATGAGGTGAATGTTCTTGGAAGAAAGGGAGTAGAGTTCGAAATTTTGATCAGAGAGGAAGCCTAACTAGAGAGTGTATCTTGACAGTGACAATGAGTAGTGTAACTTTGAAACTACTTTCCAGTGTCAAGAAGAGACGGGCGAGTGACACTGAGATGAAAACCGAATCTTTTGAACAGAACAGACGATCTGGAAGAATACGTGGCGCAATCGGAGATATATAACTTTATTCTGTAGGTATAACCACCAAGTCATTATAAACTATTTCAGATAATCCCAGAGTGTTTAAGAAAAATCAAAACAAGATTTATGTGAATGTTCCACTGTGTAAGCCACAGCTTCTTCAGCAGAATTATTCGGATTTTATTAATCACAGCGAAACGTTCAGAAAAATCCTGTTTTGAATTTTCTTAAACACGCTGGGGTTATTTGAAATAATTCATAATGATTGAATGTGATTCGGCGCTCAAATTACTCCAGGAAATTCATAACATCTGCGGTCTGGAAACTCATAAACACGAAGGTAGTGCAACATTCACTATTGACTCTCACTACGTACATTGATTGGGCTAGGTGAGGAGCGGACATCGACTGACACGCAGAGCATATGTCTTTTGCGTGTCAAACCCTCCATAGTCTTCCACACTGAGCAGTGTTACCTGACATAGGATTGGGTTGGAAAAGAGTTGGAGATGGTCGAGTTAAAACATGGCATCCCTCCGTGAAGACATTGATCGTTGTTTGCAGGCATCTAGTGAGGTGTAGCTTGGCTGGCTGGCGTCATTGGAACGGTAAATAACCGGTGATTACCAAATCATGTAGATATTGCTCTACTATCTTCAACTACATAACTCTTACCTTCGTTTCTTATGCTAACTGTTAAACACTGATGAGTGAGACGTTATCCTTAGCATAATTTTAGGATTTACATTGAAAGCACGTTTTCTTCTGCAGAAGACATGCTTTAGTTACCACTATTGATCAAACACTCTCGAAATCCTCCCTGTGTGTGTGTGTGTGTCAATATCGCTTACATGGCTTCCTTCGAGATTACGTTGCCATGAAATTGCTGCTAGAGCACACTCAGCTTTTCATCCACTAAGGATTTGATAGGCTCATTTGGATTCTTCTCATTCACCTGCTTAGAAAGATTTCATTTCTACACATGGAATGCTTCAGTAATCTCTACCTTATCTCATTCTATCCTCGCTTCACTTGAAACACCATTCGTCATTGTGTGTGTAATGTGTATTCAAACGCGTGGAAATGTCTTTTCGTAATAGGTCGCATATCACTCTATGAAACAAGATTGGTTCTTTGTTTATTGTCCTGAGAGAAACCTAAGACGCCTACCGGATGTTTGGTTTCAATCGGGTTCCGAGTACCGTCACCGTTAAGAGCTACATTCCTCATTCAGAGGCTTTCAGACACGTGTCCATGATGTCTGTTTATACATAAGTTTAATGAGCAAGTGTTATCTTCAATGCCTACTCACTTATGATAGATAATTTCAATTGGAATTGATTTATTTCTGTTGGTCAGTAAAACTTACTAGTAAAATGAATATCATCTGAGTTAATTAAACTAGAACTGATTCATCGTTTATCGAAGATATTGACAGGTCTGGGGAATAAAATCGTGCACAATACTTAGATTCTACTTAAATTATTTTACGAGGTTAGAAGTAAGTAGACACATTATAATTGTTTGTTAATTTTTCGTTGAAAATCACAATGGTGATTTCGAAATCATTTTAGTCGAAATCCTGTGGCAATTGTTTATTATTTACTGAAGAGGTAATTGGGTTGCAGGAGAAATCTCGAATCCACATGCACTGATGTCAGCTTCCTACCAGCATTGATTATCTGGTTCCACATAGGTCTAACTACGATTCGATCTCCAGACTATAGGCTCTCTTCATTTTAGGGAGGATGCGTGTGGTGTATTGTTCTTCTTTCTTAACTGCCCATATAATAGAAATTGTTGTGGCTCGAAGGGAATATGGATTCGGTTCTGTGTGACTGAACAGCTGACAGTACTTAACTGGTGGGACTTACTTAGCAGTACGAAATTCCAGAGTACAGGTAATGGTAGTGCCATTGACCGGTTGGCTATACTATAACAGTCTTACTAAGCGTAATATGCCTAATTACCGAAGCAGTCAACGCACTACCTGATTTTTAATTACTGATAGGAAGACGCAAATAAAAAAATAAAAAAGCTTAGTTAATTAGTAATGTGCTCTGATGAGCAGTATATTTGAATGAGACTAAAAGTAAAGATTATTCAGGGAAAAGAAGTTAGAACTCATCTAGCTGGTGTGGCTAATCCACTGAGTTAGAGAATACACTCATTAACCGAACAAGAAAATAGCACAAAGTGGAGATCGAGCTAATCCGGAAGTGTACCATTTAAAACAAAATTTAGAACGCCCAAAACACTTGTTAGACATTTGTTTAGTAAATATTAAGTTGATCCAGTTTGATCTATTGATTTCAGCCTTGGGGTTATTTTGGCACCGTGGAAGGTGGACTCCAATGACAACTCCACTTATTACACAACGAGATACTCTTTCAACGATGTAGTTTCCAGACTTTAAGGAAGTATGAATTTACTCCGTGTTGTCCACAAAACAGGTTGGTGAGTGTCGATAGGGACAGGATGTAAGTATCATGCGAGTTTCATGTCAGTTATCGAAACTAGCAGTCAACCATCATAATGACTGCCGCCTTATGTGTAGAAAGTAAGCAGCTTTCGAAACCCGCAAATTGCACATTTTTACTAATACTATATATAAAGGCGACTGGAAACCAAATATTCCGGTTATGCTAGAAGTGAACTCTTGAAAATTAGAAAACCAGGTGTTAATCAGCGATGATCATCTATCAGGTGATGACTATATCACGCAAACATTGCAAACGACCCATAAAAGATATATTTCATCGTAAGTATATAGCTGGAAGTTTGTGAATTCACGTGCACTTTCCGGAGCAAGTACATGGGAAGGAAAAAAAGAAAGGCTTCTATCCGGTTTTCTGAACATATTCCAAGAAACCTGTGCCCGAAAGGAAGCAAATATTCTCAGTGCAATTACCAGACATATTGTTGATACCGGACATCTCGTAGAGATTTCTAAGTCCTTCAAAATATTAAATAGACAAAGGACAGCAAATTTACTACGATTTGCCGAGGCGACCACAATCAAACGATTTAAACCAGACTTGTGCATACAGAAAGAGAGTGTGACTAACCTCTCACTGCCTTGGTAACTGGATTTTGATTTTGATTGCATTAATTAGTCATCTAATTCAGTGATCTCAACTCACTGAACAAATCTTAACCTCATAAACTGTAATCGCTTTTGATTTTTGAGTTGCTGTGTGAACCTACAAGCTAACACTGTTCGCGCTATCTCGTGAATTGGCAGAAGTTAGAATTCAAGAACCACTGGATCGGGTCCCAGTGGCCCAAGAGTCTAAGAGCTCGTCTTGTAACCAGAGGGTCCTGGGTTCGAGCTCCAGTGGGCGCGTACTGATGAAGAGTACCAAACTAGGACGAAACAGCTACCCAGTAATCCCAGGTTTTCCAGTGGTTCTCTAACTGATTTCAGCTCATGGAGCTCAGCTCCTCCATACAATCGAACACTGTTCTGTTAAGTAATTTTTTCTGTCTTCTGTCTTACCCCTCCCCCCACTCTTTTCAACTTTAAAAGCGTATAAATTGATGATGAAAACTTAAACTAAAAATTGTAATACATTCACTTTGGAAGCGTCAATTTTATCGTATCTCTTCTCTACTACCACACAAACATTAAAGCATGTTATTATCATCTATATAACCATTGTAATTTCAGGCAGTTTGCAGCTGATGAGAACCTGTGAAAAAGAATGATATCATTTTATACTGTAAAATTTCGTCTTCCTTTCTTTATCTAAATGTTTAAGAATCCCTAAAAGTGTTGATTAGGTAGTCAGCAAAT